TTCCCATCAAAACAAGAACATACTCAAAATATAATTACCCTTGTTTGTGCCGGAAATTTTCGTCTCTATCGATATAGGCTACCAATTCGATTGTACTCATTTGTTCGTGTAAAGCAGCGGTCACACGAGAGTGGAAAGTTGCTAATTCCGCTTTTATAAAATCTTTCGAAATAACATCGAAACCTGCTATAAAATGTTCCTTACCTCTCCTGTAAAATTCAAAAATGGATTTAACAACTTTTCACTCAAATTTAAGTTGATATCGCCAATAAGATTAAGTACTTAATTAGTGTTTGCTAAACGTTTCAATGCTATGTATTTACTTAGCTAAAATTCTAATAAAACAGTAAATTTATGTTTCTTTAAAGAAACAATTTTCCCGAAATTATATATTCATAATTAGCAATGAATGTTAGATATATACAAACATACAGCATCCGTAAAGCCAACTTTTTCTATTGTCCTCAAAAAATATTGTCTGTTAAAAGCTAGATTTCTTCATAAATCGTTTCTTTCATTTGAATACTATACTCACATGTTGATGTTAGCTGTTGTTCATCACTCTTCGCTTGCCAGCCACGAGCGTGGCGAGAAGTGGCGTATCTGTTAATTAATACAATTAGCAGCAGTTATGTGCGATAATTTAAGATTTGTGCGAGTGAGTGCTTGTACATATGTATGTATATATATATAAACATACATACAACATATTTAGCAAACTTGCTGCCAACTGACTTGGTTGTGATTTCCGTAGCGCTTCACCGCTTCGATGCCCATTTCCGCAGTGCTGGCTCACTTGTTTTTCTAAGCTTGATATAACTAACGTTTATGCGCAAATTTGTACATATGTATATACATAGATAGATATGTGTGTAGCATGCGTGTGCCATATTTTATGACCAACAAATTTGTTTACCAGTTTAATTTACCTAAAACGTAATTTTTTTATTTTGTTGTGCATTTCATCGTTCTTTAAAAAGACACAAATTTGCATAAATCGAATGATGTTTATATTTTTTTTTAATCTTATAAAATATTTATTTTTCAAAAACTGAATAGAAAAATAAACATAAATTCAATAACCGGTATTATAGGGTACCCATATGTATTTACATACATATGTATATACCTAAGCAAAATACGAATCGAATGGGGGTTTTGCTTAGTCAAATTGTTCAAATGATATCTGTCAACATTGTCGAAGCCTGGTACCAGTTTGTTGTATCGGAACATTGGAAAAACAACCATTAGTTTAAGGCGTTAGAAGTTGAGGTATCTTCCTCCATTTTTATACCAGGGCCGTAGGTATTCTGTTTTGCGTGGATAGGCAAAAGAATTTTACTAAATATTAGGTTTGTTTTTGTTTTAATTTTTCAATTCTACCAAATGATCCATATTGTATTAATCGATATGGCAAATCCTTTTGTAAAAAACGATGTCATTCTCACAGTTTAAATGTTATTGTTTGACCAAATAAACTGTAAACGCAGGATAAACTATACAAATACTTTTTCTTTTTATTTCTTTTGTTTTCGATTGTAATTGTTTTTTTTATTTTTCTGGTATCGATTTCAATACGGTCCTGTTTTACACCTCAAACTGTACTTACTGAACTAAGAATGGAATATACATACAAATAAATGAATGCTTCTCTTTTGAATTCCCTTTATTGAGTAGAAAATTTGCTGTGATAGTGTCATAATAGTGTCAGTTAAGTAAACAGAAATGATCGACAGCTTTTCTTCTATGTTGTGTAAAAATTTTATGCCGAACTTCAAAGCCTTTCAGAGTTTTGATTTTTGGATTATGACACTCTGACAGCGAATGAGCACACCTTGCTGCTTGTAGTTATCCAACATTGGCGGTGATGAGTCCATTTATTGGATTCATGTTTGGTTTGATATCCAATATTTTGTTTGGTTTCAGAGTTCCGCGTGTAACGTTCGATCAATAAAAGGATGACATAGTATTGGCCGCGCCCATTATGACGGTAATCACGTCCACCACAATGCCTACTACAGTACATCACATTGTCATATTTATGAGAGGAAGCTTTTGGATATACAAACATACTTGGGCCATGTATGTAGATAATTTTCGATGTTTACAGAGATGGCTAAAACATGGGTTAGGTCTTCCAACCATGACTGATCTTGGTTGTGGGTGGCCTTAAGGGTTATTGGGTAGAATACAAAAAGGTACTTGAAAGCGATAGTTAACTGTAGAATGTGCATCTACAATATCTATGCTATGAAAATAGCCGTACCTAAAAATTTAAACAGAATTTAAAGCAAACATACATACATACATATGTATGTTACATATCGATACATACAACTTATTGCAATAAAATATATATAAGGTAAAATACTTGTTAAATATGTAGACGCATTCACTCATCAGGGGTATGTGACTTGTCTGACTTGTCGAGCATTTCAATCTTACCTTTTGGGACTGTATAACCCTGTCTGTTGTAATACATTCACAATTTGGACCAAAATAAATAAAATTTCATGCAGCAAACAATTGGAATCTCAAAGTAGTTAAGTAAACATCAAGTAAATATGCAGCAATAAACACGAATGCGGTAATTATGCCTATAAATTGTAAACAAGTATGAGCTCATAAAAATTCGCGATCAAACCAAACAAAATTAGCGACTAATCAAGGTAATGCTAATAGCGTTGGCCGTGTAAGTCTGTTGGCGAGATATGAAAATTTTGCAAATGAAACGAATTTCACCCTTACCTAAGGCTTTTATAAAGCACGTGCCCACACAATTTTTTTTTATCCTTTATCACATGGCAATATCTAAACTAATGAAAGGTAAACATTTAGTGGTTTTAATAACAATTATATGCATATACAAATGACCAAAATCGGAGACAATGACCAGTTTTTATCGGACTCAATGCATACTCGTATGTATGCATTTTTTAGCTACATATATAAGTTTATGAAAACTTTTTCAAATATGTATACACTTTCCTATATCGATGGCTGAGTGGAAGATGGACCTTTCTCGGAAAACTTTTCAAGAACGCCCTACTTCAGAATTTGATTGAAAAACGCCCTATCTCAGAATTTGGTTAAAAAACGGTCGATCTTCCGCTCAGCCTTCGATATATACTCACATACATATATACATATGTATCAAGAATGATAGAATATAAGATTGCGCCCATCAGAGAGGATTTTTGAGAATAACTTTTGTGTGACGTCACACTGGTGCAATTGCGAGAGAGAAATGCCAAAACGTGAGCAAGAATGGAATAAGAAGAAAAAATGTTGCAAAGAAAACGTAAACAAGTGTGACGTCATATAAACAACGATTCTGTCAAATTCACTGAGAGAGGATGGGCGCAACCTCTATTTCTCTCAATCGTGGTGTATATGTATGCATACAAATACATATACATAAGTATGATGTAGGTATATGTATTTACATAGTACGAGTTTGGGGCGCTGACGCTTTCACAGTTATTTGTTAAATCAGCTCCTTGGCAGATTTACACTTCCAATTAAGAATTTTTACTAGCACATTTATTTGCGCATAATTTGGATATTTGCAAAGTGGTGTTGGCATATTCTTTCTTCAATCAAGATATTAATTATCTACATATGTATATATAGATTAAAAAAAGAAGCTTTTTCATGAAAGAAATATACTCAAGGCTTTGGCTTTGTCCGAAGAGGGGTGACCGCGAACCAGGTCCTATCCTGAGAATTTTAAAAACTGTCAAATATGTCCTTCATCGGTGACTAATGAAGAAATTCTCCTCCAATTTTTTACTATAGATTAGATCAAAAGAAATAAGGCAACTGGTGGCGTCACCTACTTTCATTTAGTGAGGGAATGTATTGGAAGCGCACTATCAAACAATACTTATTCTCGTTCGCCACAGTTTTGAAAACTGTCGACATACAAAAACCCAATACATACCCGTTAAATTTTTTATTTTTTTGCATTATGTTAGGGAACAACTATTTTTTGTACAATTATTTGTAAATATGTGTCTAGACAATATTTAGTCTTATTGAAGAGGGACATATATCATATTTAAGAGAAACTTCCTGAGACTTTGATGACTTAAAATAACTATTTTTTTTAATAGTCGCCTGGCTGAAGAGATCGAACAAAAAGCAACTATAATTTCCATATAATAATTTCCTTTTTTTTCACCGGAAACGGGCTACAGAAAATTCTGATTTAAGTATCGATTATGATTATGATATCGATATCTATGAAAAGTTAGATAACAACATCGATAACAATTCCGATATCTACAAATATCTGCAAAAATTTCACCTAAAAATATCGATATCAAAATACCGATATCATATGGATCTATCACTAATTTGTTAAAGGATATCAAAATAAATTCCTAATTTTATAAACTAATTTAAAACTTTATATGGCGTTGTAAGCTATTCTGCTGTCTAATAATTCGTCCAACCCTGTAAAAAAAGGATAAGTGAATAACTTAAACCATATATAACGACGTTGATAAAGCTAATGGTAGGAATATGAGAAAAAATACTCACATATATATATATGCCTAGCAATATCTTACTTACTTATGTACAATGTACATCTTTCGGATTAAAAAAAATGTTTGTTGTTTACAAAAATTCAGTTTTCGATGTTGCCAAGTGGGCTTCATGTGCTAATATATTTACATTTGCCTGGCATTGTGTGAATTCGTACTGATATTTGTGTATTTTAACAAGTGTTTGCAAATTTTACTCAACACTTTCAGCATAATCATTAACCATTATTCGATTCATATACAGATAAACCAGGCCCGAAGCCAAACCTGTTCATACAACCTTGCTAACTAACTACTCGTTAACACATTTTTTCCCCGTTCTGACGTATTTATTTATTTATTATAAATCTTGCAGTTACATCACACCAGCGAATGCTCCCAATGCCAATGGTACCACTAGTCTCATCTACCCCTCCTCCGGCGGACAGATGTACAGGGTGCATCCGACCACCACTGTGGCGAGCAACTCTACATCAGCGCAGTCGATTGCTGGCAGCAACAATAGTCACACCACCAGCAATAACAACACTAACAACGCCTGCATGGACGTAGTGGATAGTCATCACAGCGAAGGTGGAGGTGTCAACAGCGGAGGCAGGGACAGCAACTCGTCAAGTGGATTTTCGCAACGACTGCGGGAGCTGGCCGCTTCCGCGGGCCTCTTATCGCTGAAGCCACGCCAACCGCTGAAGCCAGTCATAAAGACGCGCGGCTCACCAGGTCCGGAGTTTCCGAAGAAGGTCACATTCAGTGCCTTTGCCACAGTTCAAGTGGTGTAGAAAGGAGACGAACGATGGCTACTAGTACGCTAGCTAGAAATTATGGGTGACCAATAGGTTGGTTCGATAAAATACATGTGTATATTTATAAATACTTAGATGGTCTTATCGAAAGTGGATCAAAGAAGCTATTTCAAGACATGAAAGAAATGAGTCTGTCAAAGACCATGACTTTGTATAAATGTTTTTGTTTTTGGTTGTATTTTTTATCCACTTTTTTGTATTAGGGGTATTCATCTAACGCAACAAACTGTCGATAAACGTGATAAAATTATAAATTTGTATGGAGCTTATAACTTTATCACGTTTTTCAAAAGTTTATCATTTTATGTGAATAATCCTATTATGTGTATTCGTCGCCGAATTTCAGAATGTAAAGATACAAAGCACCAGTCTATTTTATTCCGATTAAAATGGCCAGCCTTCCTTGAAATTAGCATCTAGACGTGATTGCGAATATTGGATAGTTTCACCCTCCGTGGTTCAGAAACAAAACAAAACTGATGCTTTGCATTTATGTGTACATTTGGGAATTCAGGGCATTTATATATGTATGTACATATATGTGTGTGCATTAGGACGAATCATGGAAAAAGTTGCTGCTTTCCCAAGCGAATAACTGTCACGACTGTCATCAAAATATTTTGTCTCGAGCATGTGCCGGTTGGACTCCTTTGATGATAAATTAGAAGAATGTAAATTTAAAATATCGGCATCAAAATTAAGAAAACGAAACCCAAAATTCAAAATAATCAAATACATATTTAATCTATGTATGTAAGCTTGCGGAAGGTGAAGCGAGCGTGACTCGTTCTAGTGTAGTCTAGTTTGCAAGCTCAACTTCATATAATTTAGTTCAAATTCAAATTTTCATCCTTGACACATCCTAAGAGCAGCCAAAATCAAGTTCTCTTCACACTATTGTTTTATTATGACCACACTTTAAAGTGTGATACAACACTGAAAATATATATCTAGATACATATGTACCAGTTATAAATAAAAAAGCAAAAATTAGCAAATTTACTTTTTGGTTAATTTTGTGATGTGACAGGGGAGAAAGTTATGACCCATAAACCCTCTCCAGGGGCTGGATTCTGTAACTGTGAGTTTTGAAGTGTACACTGAAAATTGTGTACACTTCCTCATTTTGCAATTCAGAAAGTGTGCGAATGAGTTTCAACTGTAAATATTGTGTACACTTCTCTTTCGAAAAACTCACAGCATTTTATTCAGTGGCTTGTTGGTGTGACTTTTGCACTCAGTGTACAATGCATTTACTCACAGTTACAGAATCCAGCCCCTGGTAAGCTTTTCAACTAGACGGGTAGTTACAAACCATTTTTGCGTGACCCAATCTAATACATATGTACATTAGACCACGTCAAAATATAAATGAATCCTGCAATGCGGCCGAAAACCGAACTCAAATTTTAGTATTTGTTATAGTGAGGATCCTCCATGAATCTCACCTCTCTACGATAATTCTTAGAGACCGCGTAGCGTTTATTTTTCCATAGAATAAGTTCTCAAAAAAGAACACCTCTTTTTCTTACATGTTATTCCTATGGGGAAAATAAAAGCTCGATGCGCTTACTTAAAATTATGGTAGAGAGGAGAGATTCATGGAGGATCATTACCATAACAAATACTAAAATTTGAGTCGGGGCCCGTTTATAATTTTTATTTATTTATTTTTTTTTTTNAATCACAGCATTTTATTCAGTGAGTTTTTGGTGTGAGTTTTGCACTCAGTGTACAATGCATTTACTCACTGTTACAGAATCCAGCCCCTGGTAAGCTTTTCAACTAGACGGGAAGTTACAAACCATTTTTCGTGACCCAATCTAATACATATGTACATTACACCACGTCAAAATATAAATGAATCCTGCAATGCGGCCGAAAACCCAACTCAAATTTTAGTATTTGTTATAGTGAGGATCCTCCATGAGTCTCACCTCTCTACGATAATTCTTAGAGACCGCGTAGCGTTTATTTTTCCATAGAATACGTTCTTCTCTTTTGAGGTCAATATAATATCCAAGAATCAATCAAAACTCTCGAAACTATAAGAATACATTGGAATCGGAGCCTGCATAGTACTTGAATGGCATGTAATCAATGTATTCTTATCGAGCGTTTTGATTGATCGCAGAAAAATATATCGACCTCAAAAGAGAAGAATTCTTTTTCTTACATTTTATTCCTATGGGGAAAATAAAAGCTCGATGCGCTTACTTAAAATTATGGTAGATAGGGGAGATTCATGGATGATCATTACCATAACAAATACTAAAATTTGAGTCGGGGCCCGTTTATAATTTTTATTTATGTATTTTTTTTTTGTTGTGGTCCAATGTACATACATACATATATAGTATATATGTAAGTATGTATGTAGTATACGACTTTGACTAATTATGCATTATTTTTTCTTCTATCTTTTCTTTTTTAGCATTTCGTGCGTTGATGATGACTACTTGCTTTTGGTACATTGTTGTTGTTATTTATAATTGTTCATTTTTTTGTTTAATGTGACTGTAAACTATGTAAAAATTTGTAAATGACGAGGATCGCCGCTGCAGTTATTTTATGTGTGTGTATATATAAAAACATTTAATAAGCATAACTGAGTTGTTTTTGTTGTTATTTATAGAACAGAAAGTATTAAATGAAAGTCTACTTACATAGTATGTATGTGCTTGTGCCAATGTTAATCCTTACATTACATACATATGTGGTATACAAGGATGGATATGAAAAATAGGGAGCCGGGTTCGGTCGCAGTCATAGACACACAAACGCACACACAGTAAAGCCAGATTAAATTTTTGTGGNATGTAAGTATGTATGTAGCATACGACTTTGACTAATTATGCATTATTTTTTCTTCTATCTTTTCTTTTTTAGCATTTCGTGCGTTGATGATGACTACTTGCTTTTGGTACATTGTTGTTGTTATTTATAATTGTTCATTTTTTTGTTTAATGTGACTGTAAACTATGTAAAAATTTGTAAATGACGAGGATCGCCGCTGCAGTTATTTTATGTGTGTGTATATATAAAAACATTTAATAAGCATAACTGAGTTGTTTTTGTTGTTATTTATAGAACAGAAAGTATTAAATGAAAGTATACTTACATAGTATGTATGTGCTTGTGCCAATGTTAATCCTTACATTACATACATATGTGGTATACAAGAATGGATATGAAAAATAGGGAGCCGGGTTCGGTCGCAGTCATAGCCACACAAACGCACACACAGTAAAGCCAGATTAAATTTTTGTGGCCAACCAACCAAGAGAAATTCGGAATTTTTTTAATTGCACAAGCAAAGGATAGATATGTACATATGTATGTATGCATGTATGAACAATTGTACATATGTATGTATGTATGTATTGAATAAAATACCATATAAATTAATATTCGACTGCTAAGCATAACAACGTAGAACTAAGTACAACGGCATATGATACAAAATGGCGTCTTCTTTCATCTTTTCGAAATGGAGTCTGCGAATCCAAAAGCATCAAGGATTAATTATGAATGCAAAGATTACTGGGGCTTTCATTCCTGCGACAAAAAACACCAGAGTACATAACATATCGAGGACTTATATTCAATACCCTCTGCAATAATTCTGCAAAAATTCATTTTTTCAGGAGAGCAAAAAAAATGTTTTGACATCTATTTTTAAAAGTGTTAATAATTTTAAGTATACTGAAAATAAAATTTCGTAAAAGTGCTACGAAAATCCTTCGTAGTGTTGNATATGTGCACAAATGTATGTATGCATGTATGAACAATTGTACATATGTATGTATGTATGTATGTATGTATTGAATAAAATACCATATAAATTAATATTAGACTGCTAAGCATAACAACGTAGAACTAAGTACAACGGCATATGATACAAAATGGAGTCTTCTTTCATCTTTTCGAAATGGAGTCTGCGAATCCAAAAGCATCAAGGGTTAATTATGAATGCAAAGAATACCGGGGCTTTCATTCCTGCGACAAAAAACACCACAGTACATAACATATCGAGGACTTATATTCAATACCCTCTGCAATAATTCGGCAAAAATTCAATTTTTCAGCAGAGCAAAAAAACTGTTTTGACATCTATTTTTAAAAGTGTTAATAATTTTAAGTATACTGAAAATAAAATTTCGTAAAAGTGCTACGAAAATCTTTGGTAGTGTTGGTTTTTGTACAATGTACGAAAGTTTCGTTAATTTTTCACAATGAAACAAGATTTTACGAACCATACGTAAATATAACGAAAGGACTTTCGTAAGGTATTTTTTCAATATAATTTACGAAATCTTACGTTTATTTTACGAAACACATTCGTAAGGCACTGAACAAATCTCTGTACGAATAATTTTGTATATCGCTAGCTTAAAGTGAAAAGTTGCTAAGTCCACTTTTTATGAAAACTCATATTTTGATATAGGAGGCTAAAGAAATTAAATACGCATCGTTTCGAAAATTATAAAGGTATAAATAAATTTTTTCCTCTTCATAAGCAACAAAAGGAAAATTTGCTGAGTCCAAAAGAAGCACCACAAATCCGATAAGGCCAAAATAATACGACATCTTTTAATNCATAATACGAAGACATTTTTCACAATGAAACAAGATTTTACGAACCATACGTAAATATAACAAAAGGACTTTCGTAAGGTATTTTTTCAATATAATTTACGAAATCTTATACTATGTCTCCATTGAGAGATTTATCCATTAATATTTAATAAATTCAATTGCTAAATCACAACCGTCTCCATTACCACAACGAGATATGTTTGACGTTCACATTTTTAAATATTTGACATTTGCTTANCAGTTTAATATTTCATCATATTTTTATGTATCGCGTGTCTTTGTGGAATTACTTGTTGACTGCTGTGAGACGTAAAATATAATTTTAAACGTTTTAAAAAGGGATTTGCTGGATAAAAAAAAAACAATACAAAATTAAATATTAAAGCTGTGGATATACTATGCTTTTAAGCATACAATGTTTTTAACATCGCCTACGCTGCANAATATCATGAATACGAACTGGGTTCTAGAGGATGTTCGGTGCAATGATATCGAAGCAGAACCATTACCGAAATTTATAAATTTTTTGTCGCAGCGCGTAAATGACTTNCATCAATGGCAGGCCTAAGCCAGGAGCACTACTTAATGAAATTTAAAGTAAGTAAATGTATGACTTTTCACTGAAACTTTCAGCTTTTCAGACGCCTCATAATTTGCCTTTAATTTATAGTCGTCAAGGAAACAAACATCGATGAAGCTGCGAGTGCCTCTACATAAAAATATTATAATGTTTAAGAAAGTGAAACTAATATTTTTTATATTCTTTCATATTTTATATCTTATTGTATTTAGTTTTGTTGAGTCTCATAGTTTAACACTTTGCATCAATATACTTTATTGAATGAAGCCTAAGCAATAAAAAAAATATGTAGTATAGAACCTATTCGTATGCATATAAATAAAAGACTTAAGTTTTANCGTTTATTTTACGAAACACATTCGTAAGGCACTGAACAAATCTCTGTACGAACAATTTTGTATATTGTAGGAAGGCATTCGTAATATTTACGTATGGTTTTAAATTTACGAAATCTACAATTCTGTATTCGTACAATTTAGTTAATACTTTCGTATAAAGTACTAATGCAGAAACATGTTTTTTAAATTCGTACAACATACGAATATTTTCGTACAATATACTCAATTACCGGCAGTTTAATATTTCATCATATTTTTATGTATCGCGTGTCATTGCGGAATTACTTGTTGGCTGCTGTGAGACGTATAATATAATTTTAAACGTTTTAAAAAGGGATTTGCTGGGAAAAAAAAAAAACAATACAAAATTAAATATTAAAGCTGTGGATATACTATGCTTTTAAGCATACAATGTTTTTAACATCGCCTACGCTGCGCCTTGCGCTGCAATGTGGGACTTGATAAATAGGCAATTTCATCAGTTACCCATCAATGGCAGGCCTAAGCCAGGAGCACTACTTAATGAAATTTAAAGTAAGTAAATGTATGACTTTTCACTGAAACTTTCAGCTTTTCAGACGCCTCATAATTTGCCTTTAATTTATAGTCGTCAAGGAAACAAACATCGATGAAGCTGCGAGTGCCTCTACATAAAAATATTATAATGTTTAAGAAAGTGAAACTAGTATTTTTTATATTCTTTCATATTTTATATCTTATTGTATTTAGTTTTGTTGAGTCTCATAGTTTAACACTTTGCATCAATATACTTTATTAAATGAAGCCTAAGCAATAAAAAATATGTAGTATAGAACCTATTCGTATGCATATAAATAAAAGACTTAAGTTTTATTATAGGTAAAATAACCTTTTTTATTAATTCTAAGCCACAGTGTAGTCAGAAAATTCTTCGTCTTTCGTAGGCAGGTTCTCCATTTAACTTCTTACAGTAAAGAGATCAGCAGGAGGGCATCTCATCGACTCCTGCAGCTGTCGGGCTGCATAAAGCCTTGGCCACACAGAAACCAGACTAGCAATCCTGCTAGCCAATGGCACCTACTCAGGTAGCGAAAAAAAAGGGGACACATTCGCCCTGCTCTCGGCCAACTTCCCGGATGAAACTCCGATTTCGGCTGAGATATCGTGCCGATGGATTAGGCCATACCCAGCGAACTGCAATTTGGCTAAGAGTCTATTCCCCGCCGGTTAGTCTGCAGGGCCTTGCGACTGTTTNTAATATTTCATCATATTTTTATGTATCGCGTGACTTTGTAGAATAACTTGTTGACTGCTGTGAGACGTATAATATAATTTTAAACGTTTTAAAAAGGGATTTGCCGGATAAAAAAAAAAACAATACAAAATTAAATATTAAAGCTGTGGATATACTATGCTTTTAAGCATACAATGTTTTTAACATCGCCTACGCTGCGCCTTGCGCTGCAATGTGAGACTTCATAAATAGGCAATTTCATTAGTTACCTATCAATGGCAAGCCTAAGCCAGGAGCACTACTTAATGAAATTTAAAGTAAGTACATGTATGACTTCACTGAAACTTTCAGCTTTTCAGACGCCTCATAATTTGCCTTTAATTTATAGTCGTCAAGGAAACAAACATCGATGAAGCTGCGAGTGCCTCTACATAAAAATATTATAATGTTTAAGAAAGTGAAACTAGTATTTTTTATATTCTTTCATATTTTATATCTTATTGTATTTAGTTTTGTTGAGTCTCATAGTTTAACACTTTGCATCAATATACTTTATTAAATGAAGCCTAAGCAATAAAAAATATGTAGTATAGAACCTATTCGTATGCATATAAATAAAAGACTTAAGTTTTATTATAGGTAAAATAACCTTTTTTATTAATTCTAAGCCACAGCGTAGTCAGAAAATTCTTCTTCTTTAGTAGAACGTATGAAATCGATACTATTTCGGATACAGGCAGGTTCTCCATTTAACTTCTTACTGTAAAGAGATCAGCAGGAGGGCATCTCATCGACTCCTGCAGCTGTCGGGCTGCATAAAGCCTTGGCCACACAGTAACCAGACTAGCAATCCTGCTAGCCAATGGCACCTAC